CTGTAAACATGTTGCAGCAGACTGGTATCACAAATACGTGAGGGATCTTACCAGGCGACCCAGGGTAGGGCCACAGTCATGTTAAACTCATTTCCACAGAATGTTCACAGAAAAAAAAAATAATGTGAATAATCACAACTCATCCTTTCACTGCATATTTAATTTTAAATGCTACAGTTGACCAAAGTATACCTTTTAAATCTTAATTTTGACATTAGTATTCTAAAACTGCTACTTTCTTAAAAAAAAGTAGTTTTGCAATACATGGTATCAGACTGTGTCTTCAGGTGACCTATATGATAGGACCAGGTGAGACTTTATTTACCACAGAATACTGCCCACCTAGCAGATTTCTGTACTTTGTGAAGATAATTCAAGTGTATATTGAAATCTGATTGCACTAATTGACAGACCAAATTACTTTTGCAGCCATATTTCCAAAGGGCCTCTGAATTTATTCATTCAATTTCACATGCATGTGCTTCCATACCTTTGTGAATTTAACATTTGTGTACATCACTCTGACATTTCCCAGCATTTGAAGAACAATTTCAAAGACTATTTTTGCACACGTGGTATTAGGACATTTTAGTAGAACAGATTTTAGAAAACTCATTTACATTTTGCACATTTAGCCATCTTGGCACCTTCATCCGACTTTCAACTACTTTAATCAAAACTTCAACATGGAATTTTCTTAGAAGAGAGACTGAATTCCAGACACAAAACTGAGAAAGAAGCTAAAAAAAAAATTCTGCTTCATTTTCTATGCTTAGCTTCTGTTCTTCAGAGGAGAAGAAGCCTGCAAAGCTTTTGACTGTAAACCCAAATACCACCGTGCTCTTTAATAAAAATCTGTCTGATATAACAGGTTTTGAAATCATGGTACCCCCCAAAAAACCCAACAAAAAACTCACAGACAATCGATTCATAATGAGGTCAGAAATACAAACAAACTTACTTCTAATGAAGACTGGAGACACAGTAATCAAAGTGTTAAAAATTCATTTCATGCACATCTCATTTGCCTCTTGGCTGATATTTATCACATAATTCTGTGAGAAAGTAGAGGCCCAAGATGCTCCAGATAAATGTCTCAATTAATTGTACAGAGGTAGCCCTCTTTGAGCCAAACCAGAGCTGTGAGCTCTTTATTAAAAGCACTATTCTGTAGCCTGTAACCTTGTTCCTTGACTCCTCTCTAGTTTCCAATTTAAACAAGTCCCCATGCGGCCCGCTCTAAAGGGCTTTGTCTCCCCGTCATTGTTCAGAGAGCCGAGGCATCCTGGAAGTGTGAAATCAGACCTCATGAGCTGAACGGTTCCCCAGGGAACGCCGGACCACGCAGAAGGTCAAAGTCATGGGCTGGACCAACTGAAAGCATCTGATCGCCGGTCTGTGACACGGCGAGTGGGGTGGGGGCTGGGGGAGAGGGGAGCCAGGGGGCTTGAATTGAACACGTCTTAATTAAAGCCGAAAGACAGTAAAACAAACAGTTTTCCAGGCAGACTGTCACAGGGAGCTCGGATTTTGTTCTGATAATGAATCTGAGCTGCTAACCATTATTCCTTAAAATAACCGAACTTGGGCTGAAGTTGATCAAACCTGCGGTGCGTCTTTTCCCACCCTGCTTGGTTCTCGTCAAGAATAATTTTATTATGTTGGACAAGGAAAAGGAGGAATGAACCTACCCCAGCACTTTGAATGAATTTGCCCCACCTGCAAAGCCAGCAGCTTTCCACCACGACCCACCGACACCTGACCATTGCCTAAACTGGCAGTATGTCAGGGGGAAGGGTCTATTGCTTCCCAAAACTCATACAGTTTAGGTGATCAGAACATTCATTAATCTCAGAGGCCAACTGTCATGATGAGTCCATGACACTTTGTGTTTTATTGAACCATCAGAGTATTTCTTCACGTAAAAGGATGTCACTGTAGGCACACATGGTGCTAACCCTCGAGAAGGTCTGCCTGTCTTCCAGAGGAACCACGAGTGAGCAAAGACACAGGGAAAGGGGAAAAGAGACGTGGGGAAAGGGGAAAACATAACTTCTTCTAGGTAAAGATTTAGGGAGAAAACAGCCTTGCACTGAATAACTAAAACACGATGGAAGATTTAAATGAAATTTTCTTCTCAGGAGGAGAAGGAAAAAATAAACACCACACTCAGTGTCTCCCCATCCATTAGAGAATAGTTAAAAAAAAAAAAAAGAAAGTATTTTCCAGGAAAGTGGTATCTGCTGTGACCACAGTTCCCAACAAAACATGATTTTGCATTGGTGGAAGCCCTAAAATTGTGTTTTGACCATGGAAAGACACTGGTTTTCTGGGGGAAACATACTCATATGTTCATACTCACATACTCATATTCAATTCTCTCAAAGGCCCTGGTGCTGGAAGATGCCCCATTTTCCATCTCCCCCCAAAATCGAGGTGAGCTTCCAAGCACTGTCAGGGAATTTCTCAACCCCTCAGCAGTCCTCCCTTTCTCAGACTTCCTTGCAAGCGAGCTGGGTGAGGAAAAGTCTCACTTTATCATTTTCTGGGGTGTTTTAAAACCCAGATATGGCACATTCGAGCATTACCCCATTTTCCAATGGGTAGTGCCCGCTTGCTCCCCTGCCCACAACTTCACTGAAATTTCTGCCCACCCCAGCATCTTGTAAAAACTCTGAGACCTGAACCCCCATCCCTAATCTCTCTCTTTTTTTCAAAAAAATATCTAACTTAACGATTTGAAGTGCACTGTCCAACACTGGGCTATTGAGACTGGAGAAAAAACTGCCCTCGACTATCAACAGTTTATTAGGGGCTTAACTGAAGTGACCTACTGTAGTAGCATTCAGCTGAACAAGGCTACGGGCTTTCTGTGGAAAGGAGAAGAATTGAGGGTTTCATTAAAAAGTAATTTGTGCTTTTTACTCATTCATTCAACGGGAGTCTCAATTGCTTCTTTATTCATGTGGAGTTACTACAGTTTTACAATGCTGCTCAATGAATGTATGGTAACAAAAGAAAAATTTCACATTTTGAAAGGGGAAAAAAAAAATCCTTGCAACTGTAGTAAGATTGATGACTACTTAAAAGATTACAGAAGTCTTTTTCCATCTATGCTTATGCTTAATGATGGAATATTAAGGATTTTTAAAATCCATTCAGCCCAAACTAATAAATTCTGATTTATTACTTCAAGTGAAAAGATTCCTGAAAGTGAAATGAGATATGTTCAGCAGACAGGAAACACAGCAAACCAGACAGGTACTATACAGGTGTTTCAGCTACTTTTCAGACTCAAGGGAGGGCAAAAGATTAACTCTGAAAAAAAATACATAGCAAGCTAGTCCTCAGCTTTTACTCACACATGCAATCCTTAGCTGTGTAAGTTACACTACTGATGACAGCACTCTCCACACTGACTAATAAGAAATGTTCAGTTGAATAAAGTGATAGACAATTTTTGCGAACATGACTTATTGACAATCACCAAATAACTCCTTTGAGTTATTTCTAAATATTACTATTCAAAGTTTAATCTGGAATGAATGATCTGTACACACCCTCAAGTTGCTAAAAGTAGATAAAAAATTACAGTAGTTAATAAACCGCCTTTCTCCTCTTTTCAAAATACCAGGTATTTCTGTCAAAAATATATAATGATTTCTGTAAAGTCTGGAATGTACAGCTATCTTACAAAATATATCCGCCATATAAATGCATTTTCTTGCTAACGGACAAATATGCAGGACACGGGAAGGTACTGAATGTTCTTCCCTGTCTTCCTGACCGTCGTTCCAAATGCAATGTCTGAAAATTTTCGGTAGCTCTGTACATCTTTAATTGAATCAAATGTATTTCCAAAAAATTTGTTCAAGCAGCACAAATGACATGTTGATCTGGAAAAGTCGAAGACTGAACGAGGTCAGGGACTGAATTATCCCATTTGCCCCTGAATAACCTAATATCTCTCTCTGTTCAGACCACATTGGATTATAAGGTCAAAGCAGAGTGAGGAATCTTTAGAAGTGTTTTTCCAACCTCCCAGAAAATAGAATCTCTTATTTTGCATGCCACAAACTGGATGATCAGTTTCAGCAAGAAAATGTTTGCTCAGTTACCTTGTCTGAGAAAAAAAGTAAATACTGGTACTCACGCTAATTTACAAAAAACTATTTAGAAGTGAGAATGTTGCTACATATCTACACCTGCTCCAGTAACAGAACATTTACGTCCCAATTGCAGTTAAATCAGCTACATTAGTATAGTTTCCTTTTTTATTTTTTTAAAGCAGAGATGTCTATTTTCTGACACAGAAGCTCCATTCAACTTGTGCAGTGTGAAGGTGATTGTACTTACAGGAGATAATTTGGACATTGCTGGAGAAATACGGTCAGTATGGCTGAAATGCTTTTTCTTTATTTTGAAAAGCAAAAGGTTAAATTATCTATTCAGTTCTATCAGAGAAAGTAGAAAATTTTTAAAAAAAATTTGTATTTCCCTTCTTAAACAGATAAGCAGCAGTAACAGGAAACTGCATTTACCTGAAATGTCTGAAACCAACAGCAGCCTTGCTAAATACCTGGCAGTTATAAAGCAGTCCTTTCGGCAACAACTTAAAGTAATATCTAACTCTAGCATGTTCCATTTGCTTTGTCCTCTGGCATTCAGTTTTAATTTGGATTATTTTGTATATTTTTATCTACTAGAAAAAAAAAAAAGTATATTCTATGTATTTTTTCCAGGAATTCTGCTGGAATTCTCACCCTTCTGAGAAATAACCTATGCAGGGTTCTGCTAGCATTAGAATGACTTGCTGTCTTGTTTAAAAGAGTTTCATTTGCTTGTCTGTGTATTTTTTCCTTAATGAGCAGAAGGTGAGACTGTGCAAACAGACAATAACCTTCAGATAAACTCCTCTTTTAAACAGTTTTTTTTCCACTTCTAAAAAGGTGCAGTCTTACTACAGTATTTACTGACACAGAAACTAAACGAATCCTTGCCTGTGACATCAGCTGCCATCAACGCTTCTGCCCTGATGACCTTCACCTGAAGAAATCCCACATCCTTCATGTTATGGAACATTGCCATTGGACTCTAAAAAATAATAGAAAGAAAAATAATTCTGGATTGCAAAAAAGACAAAGCAAAAGCAATATTAATAGTCTCCCTGGCCCAGGTGTAACTTAGTGCAATTCTGTCTAACATACTCATACTTTTAAATATTATCTTCTGAAGAATGTACAGTTGTCAGTGTTTCTTTCAGTATTTTGCAACTTTAACTTGCCAATGAAAAATGCAAAGAAAAAACCAGAGTATGAATGATTAAATGTAACACTAATTCTACTGAGTTAATCCTCTAATAGTACATGAACAACTGCCCACCAAAACTTCAAATTATAGCAGTGTATTAGCAAAATTAATACGAACAATGCAACATTTCCTCTCCCTAAATACTTCTCTGAGATCTGTGTCCGTATTTTCCCTTTGATGGCTCCACAAACATTTTGAACAGTGACTTAGGGTCAATATTGTTTTTGGTGTAGTCGACCATCATATGCAAGCTTGCACATAGCATATATGCACACATAAGCCTGCATATAGCTTGTAAATAACATGAGCAAAAACAATCAAAAAGGGGATTATAACATCTGAATAATTTTCATAATAATCACATCCAAAAAAGAAAAAAATAATTAAAATGTAATTCCAATTCCATGGCAGAAACCGCTTACATAAGTTTAACATTTAACATAAATTTCTGCAATACCTACACATATTAAAAAGAGGAAGAAAAAACTAAAGAGCAGACCAACGCCTGCTTTTATTCATTGAATTTTAGAAAGCTGCTTGGAAAGTGTGCTCTGTTGCTGCTCTTTTTCCAAATAACTAAAAGCAATAAACTGGGAGTATTGCACCAGTTAGGTGTGATATGCTAAAATCCTCAAGATCTAACTTCGAGTATAACTTCAAAGTTGCAGAATTTGAAACAATAGAATATTGAATACAACTTTGAATCTGCAATCAATTCAAAACAAACCTGGAATTACCATTCAGTTTTTATATAACCTAGGGGAGGAACTCCAAAAGAAGAGACTAGAATTAGATTTTCAAATCTATTTTAAATCCTATATATACGTGGCCTAATTTTCGGTTGGTTTTGCAAGTCCTCTTCATAAATACTAGCATGTACCTTTATTCTGAAGTATTTTAAAATCTGGACTAATGCATTCAATGCCTGTGGCCTTTTCTAAAATTTTAATGTAATGCAGGCGAAACCTTTTCCACTGCTTATGATAACGTCTCGATTTCTAGAAAATGCAAACACCAGGTAAAACACCAAGTCAACAACTCTTTAACTTATTATGAAGGCAAAATCGACTGTTATGGAAAACCAGAATAAATAACACTACTGATCTGAAAACCACAGGTGCTGCTTAAATGCAATATTAAATGGCAGCTTGCAAAAACTACAGTATGTTTATCCACAGGTAACCTATCCATTAAAATGTTAGACATATAATATGCATCCCGCTCTTTTTATTAACAAGACAACTCTAAAATTCAAATCACATTCGGGTTCTAATTGCACAAGCCCCAGATGACCATGTACTGTTGTTTACAGTGAAGGTTTGACCTTGGCACACCGAACAGCAGAATCCTGTTAAGTGTAGTAACCTGCATGTTACATACATACAAACACATGCATGCATGTTATCACGAGATAATGGTTAATAAATCTTCATAATTTTTAATTCCTTAATCATCAGAAAAAACGGCTTAAAAAATTCTGATGGTCAACTTTAATCAGCACACACTCAACCCCCTGCTCATGTGCTTGCAAGCCGAGGGTGGCAGAGTCGACACTACTGATAGCACTGCTGTAATTCAAATGCAGGTTGGCACCATCCCTCATTTACTGTAATAACCATCAAGGTTTGGAAGCTTCTTATCAAAACTGGTACCAGAGTACAGAGATAATTCTGCTCTAATACCATGGTGAGAGTGAAAGGATTTACAAAAACGTTTCCACGTTTTACCCAAGTTTCCCAATGACCGAAACAAACACAAAGCTGCTGAAAGAAAACAAAGCAAAAACCAAACACAGAGTGAGCCAAGCGACTGCCCCCCTTCCTGCAATGCCGTAGAGTTCCCTTTTTTTTCCCCAATTTCCATCCTGGTAACCTCATTCTGCAAAAAAAAAGGCACCATTGCTGTACTGCACTTTGCTACCTTTGTTAGCATCCTGCACAATGTATTATAAATTATTATTAGGAATAACTATTTTTAAAGTTTTAGTTCCAGCAAGTCAGCAGGCTGGGATTCATTTACCGTACATCGTGACTGCGGAGACTGCTGCAAACGTACACAATGCTGGGGCAGAGGCTCTGGGAGAAGAAAATAACTTTAATGCATTACTTTAAATACATAACTTTAAGTAATGATTTATCAGGTGATATTCTGTCTCCTTATTTATGATTATTGTCGAAGGCCTCAAAACCCGCCTGGTTTCTGAAGCCTGAAATTTCCCTAGCAGAGGAATCCGTGATTTGCTGTGAATCTTTTCAGCCCTCAATAGATGGGAAAAGATTGAAATGCTCTGGAGATGAGTCCTCTTTATTTTTTTAATGAAAGGCTGTATAATATATTTTCTGTATAGCTGCAGCAGCTGTCAGGGAGAGCATCTCAGTTCAGCTCTATTATGGGAGAAGCAATACCCTATCCTATGGCATCGAGATACACTGAGGGGCCAGCGCTGATTGACAGCTTGTCACCATGACGTCTTATTCCATCTCTGTTATGGAGAAAATTAATGTCACACTACCAGCCTTATGACTCGCTGTCATCTTAGAACTGCTCACCTTTTATCAATGCTCTAAATAACATTTCAAGCCCATCGTCTCACGGTGGACAATCTGGTCAAGGGACATTAAATCGGATGACTGTGAAATGTCATAATAAAAATGGAATGCTAACAACTTCTTCCCTTAAACTAGCTCCTCTGGTTTTTAAACTGTGACAAGGGGGACTGCGGGTTCAGCACACCCGTTCTGAAAAGGTCATACAGTCTCTCTTGGTCTGTACCCATTAATGTGCCCCCCTCCTCACCCCAAAAGGAATTAATCTTTTCAGACAATTGTGGTAAAATAATGGTTCAAACAGTAATACCTGTTTAATTTGTAAGGCTCTGATGTTCAGCTACAAATGGTTAAATGACAGTAATAGAGTAATTTTCCAAGGCTATTTGAACTGATGGCAAGGTCAGCTCATTAACTGTTTTTGGGCTGCAGAAAGGGTGCAAAATACATTTCTCAAATGGAAGCTAGATTTTTTTTTAAGAGGACAAAAAAAAAAACCCAAAATACAGCCAGTCACTGGGGAACAGTACATCTTGCTAACTGCATACTCTTCCTTTGTATCAACGGTTCTGAAGTAGAGGTAAGAATACCAAAGACAAATCAAACATCAGTTTTTGAAAGTAAGCTATTTGAATTTTGTCAGTCCTTGTCATTTCTTTCTTCTGCTGTCCACTAGTGATTTTAATAAAAACAGTAATATTTATCAAAAAAGTATATTGATGCTACAATTTGCATATTTGCATATAAGAAATTCATGCCTCTGCAATATGAACACCTTCCAAAAATGTAAATGTTTTCAAATGCATACGGCAATGTAAACATAAGAAAAGACAAATATTGTTGAATACATAAGAAATGGAAATAAATAGCTCAATCTTACACCACATAATTAAGCTTTACACTGGGAACAAGAAATTGAGAATTTAGGAAAACTGATTAATAATACACATTCATACCATGTTTCTATAGTATCACTGAATTATCAAAACCATCAGTATCACTTGACTGCCATATCACCACACACAGAAATTCGGTATTGTTGTACTTGTTAGCAAGAAGTACGTCACCTCAGAAACATATCCATCAGAAATCTATTATATTTATAAAAATCTATTCTGACAACCACAGACTGCCTTGGCGGATTCCAAAATGTGCAATAACTCTCTTAATTGTAATTATTTTTCTAAGATGGTGCACAATACCTTACCTCTCGGTTGGTTTAGGAATATTATGTTTAGCCTCACTAAGTCACCTCTATTAAACTGTGTTTATGATAACACTATTGGTGTATGAGTTGTACAAGTATTAGCAGACAGCTGATTCAGGGGAGATAGCAAGAATAAATTTGCTGAAGCGCACACCCTGCTAATCTGTTTGAAGAATATTGTACAGCATTAGTACTAGCACTTCATGTTATCTGCACAGCCTGATAAGGTACATCTTTATTAAATTCAGTTATTGAAAGGATGTCAGTCATGGAATAGGAATATTTTAAAATAAAAAAAAAAAAAATTAAGCAGCTCTTTGTTAGTCAGAGCTTGGTTTAATGGCTGAGTGTCTAGAGAAGCCTTTCTAAACACCTGGCAGCACTGTACAATAAAAGCTTTGTAATTTTAAGTTGAAATAGCTTTTTTTTTTTTTTTCTCCATGTGTAGTGAAACAGTGACTTTAGTGATTTAAGTATTAGCAAATGCTGGAGTAAGAGCTCCCCTCTCTGTTGCTTTGATAAAACTACACAAGTTCTGTGCAATGTGAGGATGCTGGGAAATGAAAATAATTTGCTTCAGAATATTTTGAAATGGAAATATCATTTAAGATAATCGTTTTGATGATACAAAATATCCAGCCTCTAGTATGCATACAAAATGTAAGTTTTCTTGCACTTTTTGTGCTTAAAAGAAGATAAAAAATTATTGGCACCTCAAACCACTTGGCACAGAGACTGTACAGTCACGGAACTACACTTTAGTTATTTTGTGCTTGGTAAAAATTATCTGCAAGGCAGTAAAATTAAATTCCTTATGTCACATGCTCATATCAAACAGCTGAATTACTATGTAAAAAATACATTATTGTATAAAAACAATTTGTAGTCTTCTTGATGTTACCTGTACCAGCTGTGATATTAGTAACTAGCTTAAATGAGAGCCATAGGCTGTCTGATAATGCTATAAAGGATACATTCAGACTTTTCCCCGATACTCATTATTTATATAAGCAAACACTTTGCAAACGAAGGGCAAAAGAGAAGAACTCCATACATATCTCTTGAGTATCTCTGCTCGCTCCTTCTGGTCCTCCAGGGAGTTTACGGAGAGGTCAGAGACGGTGACCGCAGCAGAGGCTGTGAGAGTGACCAGCAACACCAGGCATCCCTCTCCCTCCTCCAGCGGCATCTCCAACTTGTGGGTTTGTTCTTTACTCAGGGTCGACAGGTCAACCTGGCACCTAGAAACAAAATTTCCATCAGCCTGTGGTTTTTTTCATGTCAAACAAGAGCACGCTGGCTTACTTGCATTCAGATGGATCAAAAAAAAAAAAAAAAAAAATCAGAAGAAAATCCTTCCTAGCTTCTGGAAGGATTTCTCTTTAGCTTCAAACCACGCCACTTGCTTGAATTTTTAAAATTTTTTTAAAGCTACAACCTGTTATGCATATGAACAATAAATACTAAAAAGAATGTACAGACACTAGAAACAAGGTAGCTAATATGCCTTACCTGAATGCAAAGAGAATTTTAAAAATCTAGCTTTGGATGCAAATTGTACTTTTAAAATACGTCTCTTGTACAAACACAAAATGTCAGTTTTGATGTGAATGTTTTTGATACTATTCATCTAACAACAGTAAAAAATCCTCTCCTAAAAAAGAAAAATAAATAAATACACACACACACACAACTGTGTGGACTTAATTGTGATGGAGTTAACACTATTGAGCATAGAAAAACACAACCTGAGCACCAACCAAAAGGCTCGTCTCTCCTGCAGTAAGCTGTGTGTGGCTCAGGGTCAAAGCTTCATGCAGGCACCAGGATAAAATTTGATGCCACAGCCCCCTATATAATAAGATGTCTCACGTTGTAATGAGCAGGGACTGCTTATAACGGCACAGAGTGGCTGAAGCCAATCCACCCTGCTTGATCCCTTTCTGAATAACCCCGGCAGCACCATACACCGAGCTAGCGAAGAATGGCTCTACATGTGCCAGCCAGCAGAAATAGCTCTGCAATATCTTTAAAAATAAAAGGTAGAGAGCATGGAAGGCAAAACAGTATCGCTGCTAACAAAGAGCTGACCTTAAACTTTTAATTAAAAAATAATTAGTCTGTGCACATCTTAGAAGTTTCAATATTTTAATATCTATAATTCACAAGATTCAACTTTCCTAAATTGCAGCTCTGAGCATCTCTAGAAATTCAATGCCTGTGTCAAATGTAATGCTGGCTTGCGCTGCACAGGAATTTCTGGGAAAAAGCACCATTTGGAATACTTCTGCTTACAGCATGCCCCAGTAATATTTCGCTAACTCATTTCTCTAAATAAAAACAATAACAATATTGAAATAAAGTAAATTAATATATTCTATATATAGTTAAGCCGCTGAATACTCTACTTTTAACAGCGATTATTTAATGTGACAAGCACATGCTCTATATGCCACTCTCACTAAACTAAACATCTAGCAAACTCTTTTCATAAAATGTCAATTGATTTTGAAGAGAAAGATAATGTGGTGACCGCAGGGCCAATAAACTGAGAAAAAGGTGGCACACATGAACAAATAGGCATTTAAGGACAGGAAATAGCCAATTAGGAGAATAAATGTGGCCTCATAAAATGGGACGCTGCGCTATCACAGGCAGATTAGATTTGCTACAGGAAATTTCCTTCTGATTTTTTTAAACATTTACTGTCTGTGGTGCAGCTGTCAAAATTAAACTACTGCAAAGCTCATACAGAAACAAGGTTCAATTATTTCACAATGAAAAAAAATTGTAACTGATGCAGCATTCTGAGATTACTGTTTAGCTTTTATTTTGAACTGTTTGGATGACAGGGAGTAAGAAATTAACAGCAGCAAGAAAAGACTAAAGCTGTGGCTGTCGGTGCAGGCTGATGGTCAGTACAAGCTTCATGCATGTACATAGGTTGACAATTTTTTATTTAGGCTGCAGTATGGAGTGTTAAGCCCTCCTTTAAGATAATAAATTGTAATGAAGCATTCAAAGCTGGAGGAACTTGAGATGCTCCTGGCGTTAAATATTATTTGATAGTTTATTTCAAAACAGATACCCCTCAAAAATGCAACTCTAACCAATAATCTTTGAAAGAAGGAGTTGAAACTCTGTTAAAGTCAATAAAAGAATCAGAAAGTCATTATGATACAAGTAACGCAGAACTAATCCACCCCTCATTCGAACAGGCAACAAAAGCTACCCTCACTGGAACAAAATAACCCTACATGCATCAGAAGACTCCAATGACTGTAAGGGCTTAGACAGGGTTTACATCCGAGCTACAAGCTCTAAATTCTCCAATCCTTGATGGTACAGCACTTGTGCAACATCAGTATTCCATGATATTTTTTCTTCAGGCTAAAAGAAGCAACTGACAGCTCGATTTTACCTGATTTTACTTTTCCTGCAGCTGCAAAATATTCCGAACAGTACCACATCTAGAACAGATCACCTGTGAAATACATCTCTATTGTCTGCTTGATAGATCTCCATCAACAGCCCGTCACCAGTTTGTTAATTCCTAAAATCACACAAAGCATAAGGAGTGATCTGGAAACTTTTTACAGTGCAATCCTTAGCTGTTTTACAGGAAAAATATTCTATGAGGGGCCCTCAGACCTCAGTGTGATAGAAAACTAGAAACAATGTGATAGAAAACTAAAACCATTAAAGAGTGTCACCATTGTGCTTTATGAAAATCCAGGTTAAGAGCGTCTCCGTACATACACAGACAGGTAAACGTACATTTCTCATTCTGTGACAGGTTCCCTCCTCTGGCCATGGAAGAGATGCACTGGCAGCACATGCACTTCAGTTGAGAGATGAGACTTTCCAATTTACAGACACTACAAGAAAAAGTGCTTCTTTTTTTCTTTCTTTTTCCCCTCCATTAATAGTTGAGTTTTTCACGGAAAACAAAACAAAACATTTTGTCTGCTCTCACATCAAATTTTCCTGCCAAAAAAAAACCGAAACATTTTTGCTTAGACCCTCAACAGATCTTTGCATGGGACGAAACCAGTGAAGGAAGCCTGGTTTTATTAAGGCATCACCTAAGCACTAACCCTATCCTGGAATAACCTTTACAGACGTCAGTAGGAAACCCACAAAACTGCTTTTTGATTAGATTTCTTTAGAAAGACTAAAGTTAACAAAATACTAAAGATAAATAGCTTTAGACAGTTCAAGTTCACAACATCCCTTTGCATTTTACCAACAGTATATACAAGTATTCCAGGCTCTAAAGCTTTAGCAATGCTGTCTTTGACATCAGTTAAGATGTTTTCTTAAAAGACATTTGTCACTTATGACTGTTTCCATGGAGAGCAAAGATGCTCTGAGGATGAAGGTGAACTTGAATGTTCCCAGAAAGTGGTGCAGAATGAGCATCGAGGTGCTGGAAATTTTTTGCCTTCCATTCTCAAATTGAGGACCATGAAAAATTACACCCATGTTGAAAAGGCCATGAGTGGCATGTGACCAGCAGCTGTCACACTGAAAGCAGGAGATAATAGTAATTTTAGGACAATTTCTTACAGAATTACTATTTACATGCTGCTGCTGAAGGAAGAAGTTCTCCACCTGTGAAGAGGTCAGCCTGAAGAATTATGGCACAAAAACAGCCGTTAACTCCATAGACAGATTTTCAAGCATGGCTATACATTTGAGGGGGTTTTATTTTTAAGGGCAGTTTCAGTTTTTTGCCTTCCTCTGGTGCTCCACACTGTACAGTCCCTTGGGTGCACACCAACACCGGAAGTGGTGGGCAGGGGCACCGGAGCATCCCCCCGGACGGCGGACCCATCAGAAAGGGTATGGAGGCATGTCCCCCAAATCAGCTCTGCACATGAACGTTATCAGGTACCAGATAGATCTGGATTTTCAGTCCCTGAGGGATCAGAGGGGTGAAAAACCACGCAAGTGCCTCAAGCTCATGTGCCAAAGTGCCCCAGATAAGTTTTTGCAGAAACAGGGCACGGCTCCTGTGGAGGAGGATTTGAAGATTCAAGGGGAATCTACCACTTCTCTGAAACTGTGTTCAGTGTGTTAATGATGCAAACTATTACAAATACATTTCTGATTTATTTTTAATTTGAATATATCTGGCCTTTGGTTCTTTTTATACCTTTCTTTACTGGGTTGAAAAAGCTCTTAATGCCTCGCATTTTCTCCTAGAGAAGGCACTCATGCACCATAATCACATCTTTTACTGATCTTCCTTTTGATATGCTGAACACCTTCGGCTCCCTATATACATTTCCTCGGAATACACCTCCAACAGCCCTCAAATGACTTTTTTGTAACTTTTCTGATCCAGTGAAATTCTCCTGCATCCTCTTTAAAGTGCAGAAGCCAGAACTATGTGTAGTATTTTATTATCAGCACGTCTAAGAGGTAAAAATCACCTCCCCTCTCTAGTTCTAACAGAACCCGGAATGTAAGACCGCGTTGGCACCCTGGTGAAATATCCTTGCTAATGAATGAATTACAAAGGTAGCAGCATGACATAGAAGGCCTCTGAAAAGCCAGGTGGCCAAGCAAGGGAGAGACAGCAAATAGCAAGATCATTTTCTCACATGACAAAATAAAGCATAAAAGAGGAATTGGCACAATCCTAAGTGATAGGGACAGAAAAGCACCACTGCTACAACCCAGACAACTTAATTATCATCATGACTTGTTCAGGACGACAGCCTTTTAACTCCGCTGTGATCCAGGTCTATGTTGCTCCAAAGCATGCCAAGGAGAGGAAATTGTGGGATTCTGCAATTAGAACTGAGCTGGACACACATCAGAAGCGGCGAGGAATGAACTGCAACGATTTGTGAGACTCCGTAACCTTTATGAGCGGAGTACAATGTTCCGGTAAAACCAAGAAACAAATGAGAGAGAGGAAATTCTGCAAAGCATTTGTAGAAAATGGCACAGCTCGGAAAGACAGGATTGCAGTGATGCAAAGACCTTGGGAGAACCAGAGCACGGCATTTTTAAGTGTAAACATAATGAGAAAGAAATAAACTGGTGATTTTTGTGACAGGTGGTGGGTAGAGGTGATAGACCGAAAACCAGGAATGCTCCCAAAGGAGTTGGAGAATGTAACTCATCCAAGTAGGACACTGGCGGAGAGGGAGTCTGGTGGGAGCTCAGGAAGCTAGGGAGGGTCCCTGGGAAGCTGGGAGCACGCTGCCTCACTGCAGAGCTCAGCAGG